ATCTGTGACAGCTCAGCGTTCTTTCACATCTCAGATTTCTACACTGTACTCATAGGTGACTTAAGTGAGTGTTGCCCTGTGTGGGCGCCAGGCATGCTAGTATTTACTTAATTTTTTTTACTTTAAAGATAATTTAATTTTTAATTTTTGGTTCACTCGTTGAAAACCTTGAATACCCAATGGAGCCTGTACTAAGCAAAAATAGCCACAAATCTCAGTCTGATACAACAGATTTATGTGAGCAGGGACCCAGACTGTGGGTCCCTTCACTCACTGCTTGCTAGAAGGATAAACTGGGGAGTAGCTTACTCTCATTTTGCTTTGGTATAATCATTTTTTTAATGGAGATAATAATCATACCTGGCCGGGTTCAGTGGCTCAGCCTATAATCCCAGCACTTTGGGAGACCGAGGTGAGTGGATTGCCTGAGCCCGCAGGTTTGAGACCTACCCGGGCAACTTGGCGAGACCTCATCTCTACAATAAATCAAAAATTAGCCGGGCATGGTAGTATGCACCTGTAGTTCTGGCTACTTGGAAGGTTGAGGTGGAAGGTTCACTAGAGCCCAGTAGGTCGAAGCTGGGGTGGCCATGAGTGTGCCACTGCACTCCAGCCTGGGCGATACAGTGAGACTCTGACTCAAAAAAAAAGTTACAAGCAGGGTCATGACAAGTTCTAATTCACATTTTCATCATCAGATCACTCTGGCTGCTAGGTGGAGGATGGTCCTAGGAGAAAAGAGGTAAAATCAGGGATACAGACAGCTAAAGCAACATCCCAGGTTTAAGATGATGGTTATTAGTTCTTAGCCATGTCAGAGGAAAAATTAAAGTTCTGGGGATGTGTTTTTGAGGTGTAGTCAACAGGATTTGTTAATAGATTGGATATTTGGAGTTGAAGAAAAATAATGAAACAGTCTATATATACTAAATCATAGAATCCTCATTGAAAACCTTATGATACAGACACTATTGTTATCCCCTTTTATGAGTGATGAAGCTGAGGTCAAACATACACAGTGAGTCAGGTTTTGAACCTGTGTTCCTAACTGATACCTCCCATGTGATTCTTTCCTGCTCTCCACAATGTACATCTCTTTCTTTTTTCATTTTCTATTTTCTTACCATCTTTCATTATTTTTCTTCTCCTTCCTCTCTCTTCCTTAACTTTATTTTTGTTACTGGCTTATTTCACTTAACATAATGCCCTCAAAGTTTATCCATGTTGTAGCATGTGTTAGACGGGAAGGGAGAGGAGAGGGGCAAAACCTCATACTGACCACAGGACCCTTTGAGTAAAAGGTTGGAGAATGTTTCATGGTCCAACCCTCTATATTTTGCAGCTTGCACATGGCACAGGCTAGTAATTCTGTATTATTCCACATATATGAGGAAGTCACTTATTGAACCCAAGGATCTTTTAGCTCAGTAAGTGGCAGTCAATTAAAGAGAAAAGTGCCCAAGTCCTGTCATTCTGATTACCTGTATGCTGCAAAGTGCAAGGGGCTTTCCATGCTCAGAATCACCATGAGGACCAGAACTACCTCTTTTGGCAGGCTACAGATTTAAAGGATTTGTCTCTTTACATATGCTGCCAAAAAGGTTTTTAAAGAAAAATAGCCGGTATTTGTAAATAGATACAGAAAACACAAAAGTAAAAATAAAAATAAGTAAATAAAAAATTTTAAAGAGTTTTTTAAAAATAAAATATATAGCCGGGTGCAGTGGCTCACGCCTGTAATCCCAACACTTTGAGAGGCCAAGATGAGAGGATTTCCTGAGCCCAGCAGTTCGAGACCAGCCTGGACAATTTGTCGAGACTGTGTCTCTACAACAAATAAAAAAAAATCAGCTGGGCATGGTGGCACATGCCTATAGTTCCAGGTATGTGGAAGGCTGAGGTGGAAAGATTGCCTGAGCCCAGCAGGTCGAGGCTGCGGTGGCTGTGAGCATGCCACTGCACTCCAGCCTGGGTGACAGAGTGAGACTCCAACTCAAAAAAATAAAATAAAATATATAACACCACCTTGCAGCACATTTACAATCTACAGAAAAATAAAGGACACATGAGTTGTCCACCCTCAGAAAAGGTCTCCATATTTTTTTTTCATGACAAACTCTCTAAGGTTTTTCTTTTAATATTGTTATTATTATCATTATTATTTTAAAGACAGGGTCTTGCTCTGTCACCCAGGCTGGAATGCACTGGTGCAATCATAGGTCACTGCAGCCTCAAACTCCTCAGCTCAAGGGATCGTCCCACCTCAGCCTCCCAAGTAACTGGATCTGCAGGTGCTCACCACCATGCCCAGCTAGTTTTTGTTGTTGTTGTTGTTGTTGTTATTTTTAAGAGACCAGGTCTCTCTGTGTTGCCTAGGCTGATCTCAAACTTTTGATCTCAAACAATCCTCCTGCTTCAACCTCCTGAGTTGCTGGAATTACAAGCATGTGCCATGATGCCTGACTCTAACAGTTTTTCTTTGTGATTGGGCATGTTGAGGTCAAGGTGGAAAAGAGGCTGTGTAGTTGTGAGTCCCTGTGGTGCAAAAGGGGTCCCAAGTCCAGTAAGCTGCATATCCATAGATATCTCAAATCTTGAATGAAGAATTTTGACAGGTATAACCTTATTTAGACTCTCCCTCTACTATCCCCTGATTTCTTTTTCCCTTTCTTTTTAAAATTTAATTTAATTTTTTTTTGCTTGTCCTAATAGCACTCCATTTTGCCATGAGTACAGTTCTCTGCTGTCTAGCCAAAGATACTCAATCTCAGACTAGCAGATTCAGCTCAGTATGTATTTTCAGTGTTAACTTTCTCAAGGGCATGTTTGGTTTCTTGCAGAGTGCATCTTACCACCCAGAATTCTGCATACCCAGCTCCAAGACCCCACCCCAGGTGCCCAGGGGAGCATGACTGCTCTGCTTTCAGTGTCCTTGCTGGAACTCCAAGCAAGTGTTCCCTAGTTAATCACTGCAGTTTAATTACTAGCCTGAAACACGTGCAAGCTGCCAAATATAGAGGGTTGGACCATGAAACATTCTCCAACCTTTTACTCAAAGGGTCCTGTGGTCAGTATGAGGTCTTGCCCCTCTCCTCTCCCTTCCATCTAACACACGCTACAACATGGATAAACTTTGAGGGCATTATGCTAAGTGAAATAAGCCAGTCAAGGGCAACCTCTTTGGGTCCCCTCCTACTGTGGGAGCTTTTCTGTCCTCTTAACAAATCCTGCTTTCTCACTGGAAGGAAGGAAGGAAGGAACGAAGGAACGAAGGAAGGAAGGAAGACAAGAAGGAAGTCAGTCACAAAAATAAAAACTCTGTATTATTCCACATATGTGAGGAAGTCACTTATAGAGTAGTCAAAATTATAGTCAGAAAGCCTCCAAATATCGCCTTTACACAATATACTTATGTAGCAAATCATCACATGTACACCATAATTCTAAAATAAGAAAAGAAACCCCACTACTAGATATCTACCCTGAGGAACAGGGGTCATTGTATAACAAAGACACCTGCACCCACATGTACGTTGCAGCACAACTCACAATTACAAAGATGTGAATCAGCCTAAATGCCCATCAACTGATCAGTGGATAATGAAAATGTGGTATATAGCCGGGCTCGGTGGCTTAGCCTGTAATCCCGCGCCTTGGGAGGCTGAGATGAGTGGATTGCCTGACCCTGTGGGTTCGAGACCTGCCTGGGCAACTTGGCGAGACCTCATCTCTACAATAAATCAAAAAATTAGCTGGGCGTGGTAGCGCGCACCTGTAGTTCTGGCTACTTGGAAGGCTGAGGCAGAAGGATCGCCGGAGCCCAGCAAGTCGAGGCTGCGGTGGCTGGGAGCGGCCACTGCACTCCAGTCTGGGCGACAGAGTGAGACTCCAACTCAAAAAATTTTAAAAAAGAAAATGTAGTATATATACACCATGGAATACTGCACAACCATAAAAAAGAATGAAATCATGTCCTTTGCTGCAACATGGATTGAGCTGGAGATCATCATCCTAAGTAAACTGACTCCAAAACAGAAAATCAAACACCTCATGTCCTCACTCAGATGTGGGAGGTAAATGGTCACATGGATGGAAATAATAGACACTGGGGACACTAATGAAAGGGGAGGTGGAGGGAGGTCAGGACTCCGAAACTACCTATGGGGCACAATGTTCACTATCAGGGGAATGGGCCACCTGAGACCCAATCCCCATCATTTCACAATATGTCCATGTAAAGAATACACATGTGAACCTCCTGAATTTAAAATAAAAAAATTAAAATAAAATAAGAAAAGAAAGAGAGAAGGCTGAGCACAGTGGCTCACACCTATAATCCCAGCACTTTGGGAGGCCAAGGTGAGAGGATTGCCTGAGTCCACGGGTTCGAGACCAGCCTGAGCAACTTGGGGAGACCTCGTCTGTACAATTAAAAAAAAAAAAAGCCGGGGGTCGTAGTGCAGGTCTGTAGTTCCACCTACTCAGAAGGCTGAAGCGAAAGGATCGCCTGAGCCCAGCAGGTCAAGGCTGCGGTGGCCATGAGCTTGCCACTGCACTCCAGCCTGGGCAACAGAGACTCCGACTCGAAAGAAAGAAAGAGAGAAAAAGTTTATGAATCAGTTTGCAATCTATCACAGTCCTTTCTTCAGATAGTTACTCCGCGGTAGGGCGTAGTCAGCTAAGCTGCAAATTGGACACCCCCCGCCCCCCGCCCTTTATGCACACGCATATGCCCCCTATTGGCACCGGCCTCTTCCACACTATTACTTTTCTGCCACTTCCCAGTAGTCTGCGCGCCTAATACAGTCCCACCCACTGCAACTGGCGGTAAAAAAAAAAAGAACCAATAGCAACCGTCTAAGAGGAGCGCGTTGGCATTGAACTTGCTGTACAATCCCAGTAGCTAGTGCTTCCGAACGAGGACTAGCTCTGCTTTGTAGCTCTAGCTCTAGCTGCAGACACCGCCGAATAGGTTTGTGCAAGCATATAGCATTCCCACTATGGCACTTGGAGGCAACTGCTATGATTCTGACTACTACTGCCTGGAAGTGTATGAGATAGAGATAAAGCCTGTCCGCGAGCTGACGGCTGCACGAGAAGTAGCACTGGAAGCTGGAGAAGGAGCTTCGAGAGCTATAAGCAACATGCTTCCTGTGGATGCAAACCAAGAGAACGTGAACCAGGGTGGCGATGGCAGCCAGGTGCCCGAGGAGCCGAACCAAGCGGTGGGTCCGCGGCCCTTCAACCAGCAGCGAATCCGGCGCATTAGGTTCACCCCGTGGCAGCGGCAGGAGCTGGAACGTGTTTTCCAGCAAACTCAATACCCTGATGCATTCACAAGGTAAGTGACTTGCTCCGGGAGGCACCCAGTTCTCCGGGGAGTTCTGGCTCATTTTCTCCCCCTTGCCGCCACCCCCCCCCACCCGCCACCATTGAAACACAAGTGCCTGGGGGTCATCTCTTGCCTTTATGCAGAGGAGGATGTCTCCTAAGCATCAAGGTAAATATTTTCATGTAGTATTTATGTGGATGAAGTCTGGAGACCGGTTGATGACTTTTTTTTAGTTACGATAAAATACACAGAAACGTAAAATTTACCATCTAAATTACTTTCAAGTGTAGAGTTCAGTTGTGTTAAGTATGTACACACTGTTGTGTAATAGATTTCCAGAACTTTTTTCATCTTGCCGAACTAAAATGCTATATCTACTAAGCAATTTCCCTTTCACCAGCTCCGGCAACCACCATTTTACTTTCTGACTCTATGCTTTTAACTACTCTCGGTACCTTATGTAAGTGGAATTATACGGCATTTGTATTTTATGACTGGCTTATTTGTTACAGCATGTGTTAGAATGTCCTGACTTTTTAAGGCTGAGTAATATTCCATTTTTTATATGTGTACCACATTTTGTTTTATCATTCAGCTATGGTGGGACATTTAGGTTGTTTCTACCTTTTGGCTGTTGCAAATAATGTTGCTATGAACATGAGTGTACAAATATCTCTTTAAGTCCATATTTTTACTTTTTTAAGGTGTGTGCCCAGAAATGGAATTGCTGGATCATATGATAATTTCTAAGTTTTTGAAGAGCCACTGTATTCTTTTCTATACAGGTTGCATCATTTTACATTCCCATCAATAGTTCATGGTGGGTTCCAGTCCTCACCAATACTTGTTATTTTCTGGTTTTTGTGATAGTAGTCATCCTAATGAGTATGAGGTGGTATCCCATTGTAGTTCTGATTTGCATTTTCCTGATGATTAGTGATGTTGAGCATCTTTTCATGTGCTTAGTGGCCATTTGTGTATCTTCTTTGGAGAAATGTCCCTTTAAGTCCTTTGCCAGTTTTAAAATCTGGGTGTTTTTTGTTGTTATTGAGTTGTGGGACCTCTTTATATATCCTGGAAACTAACTCCTTATCAGATATATGACTTGCAAATATTTTCCCATTCTGTGAGTTGCTTTTTCACTCTAATTGTGTCCTTTGATACAGAGAAGTCTTTAACTTTGATATAATCCAGTTTATCTGTTTTTTATTTTATTGCTAGTGTTGGTGGCCTGTTTTTGTTTTGTTTTTTGGTTTGAGGTTTTTTTTGTTTTGTTTGTTTGTTTTAGTCGAGGTATGATCATGACTCACTGTAGCCTCAAACTCCTGAGCTCAAGCAATCCTCGAATCTCAACTTCTCAAGTAGCTGGAACTATATGCATGCACCACCACACCCGGATAAGTTTCTTTTTCTTTTTCTTTCTTTTTCTTTTTTTTTTTTAGAGAAGGATTTATTGAGAGGACAGAAAAGCTCCCACAGTGGGAGGGGACCCGAGGGGATTGCCTAAGTTTCTTTTTCTTTTTCTTTTTTTTTTTTTTTAGAGATGGGGTTTTGCTGTGTTGCCCAGGCTGGTCTCAAACTCCTGGTCTCAAGCGATTCTCCTGCCTCAGCCTCCTGAGTTGCTGGGATTCCCGTAATGAGCCACCATACCCAGTTTTAGCATGTTTTTATAAGTAAAATTTTGTTGGGATCAGGGTGAGGAAAATGAGGTACTACTGTCTATGCAACTCCAAAACTGGATCCTTCCTTTATTTAAAATTTTGACAATTTGTTCATCATCAATTTTTTTGCATTGATTTTTATTTACTAAAATAGTACATTAAAATAATTTGTCTTGATTAATGAGTTGTTAACACTACCTTAAATTTTGTGATGAAGGCAAACCATTTATAAAACAAGTCTAAGCCGGGCTCGGTGACTCAGCCTGTAATCCCGCACCTTGGGAGGCTGAGGTGAGTGGATTGCCTGAGCCCACGGGTTTGAGACCCACCTGGGCAACCTGTCGAGACCTCATCTCTACAATAAATCAAAAAATTAGCCGGGTGCGGTAGCACGCGCCTGTAGTTCCAGCTACTTGGAAGGCTGAGGCGGAAGGATCACCGGAGCCCAGCAGGTCGAGGCTGCAGTGGCCGGGAGCGGCCACTGCACTCCAGTCTGGGCAACAGAGTGAGACTCCAACTCAAAATAAATAAATAAATAAATAAAAATAAAACAAGCCTGGATCTGGGAATTCCAAAAAATATATACTTGGAGAAGGTGTGAGGGGAGATTGTAAACTTAAAAGCAAACATGAAATGTATATACTATATATTCCACTTCATCCACAACCTTTAATACTAAATATTTGTGGTTTTCTCTCTACAGAAGGAATCTTGCAATACGCATTGGTGTGACTGATACCAAAGTGCAGGTCAGTAAATCTGAAAAAAAAAATTGCAGGACAACCATTTAAAAACTTGCTTCAGAGCTTTGACAGCTTTGTCCTAGGCATTCCAAAGTTGGTGTGTTCTTATTTTCTTTTTTACATTGTCAAATAAGTTTTGAATTTTGAATTCTTTGTAGGTGGAAAATAGGATAAGTAAACTCCAGCTTATGGTTCTTTCCTATTTTCCATTTCCCATTCCCATGGAACATGACTTCCTAAAGGAAAAACAAAACAACAAACTGCTTCTCCTATTCTCTGTATAAAATTAAATAAATAAAAAATGCATATATGTATACATATATATGTATATATATATGTGTATATATATATATATATATATATATAATTCTTACGTATCTATATGTCCAATAAATAAAATTCAAGTCCTTCTAACACTGGTATCCTTTAGGGAGCACGTCTATGTAGAATCATGTTAGGGCTCAGTCTGACTTTAGAAGTACTCGAGTTAATGCAAAGAGGAGCAAGGTTATAAAAAGGATCAACCGTACTAAATTATTTAAAGCCAGATATAAGCACTTAACTGAATGAGTAAGTTTATAAATATCGGGATAAGGGAGTAATTCACCCACAGAACACACACTATCTGAGTAAATAAGGTATGTTTAGTTAAGCTGAGACTGACATGAGAAGATAGCTTAAAAGTCCAAGTGCCTGATCCTCCTTCTTATGTTTTTCAGCTTTTAGTAAGGCAATATAGAGAGTAGCAGCCCTAACTTTTAATTTTTTGAAATACTTTGCTACCTCAACCTGAAAAAATTGCTGAAAGAATCACATTATAGCTGGAATCGGGGGATGGTCGTAAGCTTTGAAAATTTGTCTAGAGAATGAAACAAACATAGAGGTTGAACTAGCCTGCACTCCCACTAACAGTGTAGAAGCGTCCCCTTTTTCTACACTCTTGCCAGCATCTATTGATTTTTGATTTATTGATGAGGGCCATCCTTATTGAAGTTAGGTGGTATCTCATTGTGGTTTTGATTTGCATTTCTCTGATGATTAGTGAGGCTGAACGTTTTTTCATGTATCTGTTGGCTGCTTGTATATCTTTTTTTGAGAAGTGTCTATTCACATCCTTTGATTGTATAACTAATCCTGACTTCTACCCCACATAGCTATAATAATAAAAAAATTTTTTTAAGTCAAAAAAGAATGAAACAAACAAAAAGAATAATATTTAATTAATTTTAGTTGATCTAAGAAGGGTGAAAAGGTTTAAAAAATTACATATGATTCTGTATATGGAAGGGAGTGAGGGATGAAAAATTACCTATAGAGTACAATTTACACTATTAGGGTGACAGGTACACTAAAAGCCCAGACCTCACCACTATACAATTCATCCATGTAACCAAAAACTATTTATAGTCTAAATCTACTGAATTTTTTAATGATATACAGTCAAAATAGACCTTGCAGATACCATACAAATTTTACATTGTGAAACTACTAAATGCATACATGAGTATTCTCTTGAGGAATTTCTATTCATCTAAGCATTTACTTTTTCCTTTTTGATAATACAGTTTTTGAAGAGATGGGTTTTTATGAATTTTGTTTTGGGAGGTGACCCCCATTTCAGGGTAGATTCATATCTGTTAACTTCAAATATTTTTCACTCCTTTAAGCAGAGATGACGAATTTGTAGGTAATGTGATCGAATGATGACTACTTAAGACCAAAGAAAACCATAAGCTGTACCAAAGTGATATTTCCCAAAAAAGAAAATAAAAATCAGGATGACCTGGCTGGGCTTGGTGACTCAGCCTATAATCCCAGCACTTTGGGAGGCCAAGGCAAGTGGATTGCCTGAGCCCGCAGGTTCGAGACCAGCCTAGGCAACTTGGAGAGACCTTGTCTCTACAATAAATCAAAAATTAGGCGGGCATGGTAGCGCACACCTGTAGTTCCAGCTACTTGGAAGGCTGAGGCGGAAGGATTGCCTGAGCCAGCAGGTCAACGCTGGGGTGGCCGTTAGCATGCATGCCACTGCACTCCAGCCTGGACAACAAAGTGAGACTACAACTCAAAAAAAATCAGGATGACCTTAATATTAGCTTTTCTGCAGAGTGCATGTGTGAGTGTAGTGAGGGAAACAAGCTGCAGGTCTGATGGTGAATTGCCCAGCAAAGCAGCCCAAGAAAGCAGGCCACTGAGTGCTAGTATCCTAATGACTGACTGGGCTCACGATCAGGCCTGCCTCAGGTTGGAGAAGTTGAAAAGAGGTTGGAAACACTTTCTCAAACTAGTAAGACAAATTCAAAGGACCCTGGGTTTATGTAGTGTTCTCTCAGTGACGTTCTGAAAGGAATGTGAGTTGCAAGAAACAAATAAGAGAAAAGACAGAATGTTTTTATCTATTTTCAATCTCTACAACATGAATTTCCCCCCAAGAAACTTAACACATGGTTTCCCCTTAGGTTTTGCAAACATAATAGAACCGTTTTATGAAACCAGTATTGGGATGCATACCTAATATCAGCACATACCACAGTTAGCCCATTGTGCACTTTGGTTATATGTATAGAGATTTGACTAATGGTATGTTTGAATCCTCCCAAAATGAGCTCTATTACACTATTTAGCTCTATTACCTTTTTAGACTATATATTCATGCAGCATAAAGACTGAAAATCCTTAGATGGAAGAGAGAGAATGAGATGTCAGGCAGGGAAAGAAGATCCTTTATGTGACTTACAATTTGCAATGTGGGAACTTCCAAAAGGATTAAATACGATGTAAATGCCATTAACTAAGACACTGAGGGGATAGTGTCATCTAATAGACAGATTGGGTTTGGAGGGAGAGGTTATTGTCTGTTGGCTTTTTAATTGTCAGCAGATATTTAGAGAGGAGCCATTTTTGTGACCCGTTCACCACATTACAGTTGACCATCTTCCTAGGGGGCCCCACCATGCTAGGCAATAGCTGCTTCCGTCCAGGATCCTGGAACTGCAGCTAGAAAAGTGTGAACTGAACTTGTCCTGAGCCCAGGTAGGTTTGAAGGGTGCAGCAGGTTGTAGAATGCAGAGTTGACATTGCTGAAATGACATGCCTCTGGCCCCTAAGCTCTTGGGTAGGGAAAGATTTCTGAGAGTTTTAGTTAATCTGGGTCGAGGTGGTCCCAATTTTACTTAGCACTACAGGCTAAAATAACAAGGCAGTGTCCAGGCTTCTCTTGCCAGAGGATAATCTTAGACATTCTTGAAGGAAACCTGTCTAAAAATTCCAACGTGCTCCTTCCGATTGATTATTTATATCACACTAAAGACGGACTTTTTTTTCTCGAGTTGGAGTCTCGCTCTGTCACTCAGGCTGTAGTGTAGTGGCATGCTCACCGCCACCCCAGCCTTGACCTGCTGGGCTCCGGAGATCCTTCTGCCTCAGGCCTCCAAGTAGCTGGAACTACAGGCACCTGACCAATTTTTTTATTTTATTGTAGAGACGAGGTCTCGCCAAGTTGCCCCGGCTGGTCTCAAACCCACGGGCTCAGGCAATCCACTCGCCTCGGCCTCCCAAAGTGCTGGGATTACAGGCTGAGCCAGGGAGCCCGGCCAAGATGAACTTTTTAAACAAGAAGCTTCTTTCCTCAGTATGACTTTAAATGAGGCCCACTTTTTTTTTTAAGTTTAAGTTTCACTCTGTCAGCCAGGCTGGATTGCAGTGGCACAATCATGGCTCACTACAGCCTCGACCTCCTGGGCTCAGAAGATCCTTCTACCTCAACCTCCCAAGTAGCTAGGACTACAGGTGTGTGCCACTGAACACAGATAATTTTAAAATTATTTTGTAGAGACAAGGTCTGACTATTTTGCCCAGGCTGGTCTCAAACTCTTGGGTTCAAGCAATCTTCCTGCTTCTGCCTCTCAAAGTGCTGAAATTACAGGCATGAGCCACCATGCCCAACCCGAGGCTCATTTTTTGTCATGCCTAACTTCCCTCACAAACAAGCTGAAACTGTCCCTGGTGAGGAGGGGGAAGGAAGCAGCTGGATAGATGATGGTCAGTTGTCACGATGCAGACCTTCCTTTCTTTACCCTGTTGCCAGACATTGAATTAAGAGCAAGGACATGAAACAACTCAAAAGGTAGACCTGCATCCAATACCTGGAAGAAACTAACAAAGGATATTAAAATTGGGAAGAGAGAGATAAAGTTATGAGCCTATTCCAGAGCTTGGCACATAATAGGTGCTCACTAAGGGTGAGCTGAAGGAAGGGGGTGTGATATTAACTTCCCTAAGGTATTTTAGCAATAAGTAAATAGCTTCTCCTGATGCAGTTTAAAATTTCAGTGGCATATAAGGTTGCATGCTATGTTCTTTTTTCAATTATGCCATTAACTGTTCAATATACTAAATTAATCCCCCTTTCCCTCTGATTGTAGGTTTGGTTTAAGAATAAAAGGGCCAAGTGTAGACGAAATCAGAGGGAATTGATGCTCGTCAACGCACCACCTGCTGAACCTGAATTCTTTCTCCTCATCGTAATGGATGACTTCTAGAATGTCGTCCTTCTTCAGGAGCTAGTTTAGAGATGGGTTTTTCTGATGACACTAACACTTCGGCTGCCTATGCCTATGTACTACCTCTACGTTCTCTGAACTTATCAATTATCAATAAAGAGTTAAATTCAAAATATGTTTTTGTATGCCAATTGGGGTTAGTAAGGTATAGATGGAAATTGTCAAGGAAATGGCATTTAAACAGATGACAAGGAGGTCTTCTTTCATGAGGTGCCATCCCTGAGTCACCATAAATAGGGCCTGCACATCTCAGAAGTTTCCCAAGTATCATAGTGAGTTTGCGCTGACCAATATATTCTTCTCTACTTCCTCACCCCACCATCATGCCATCCTCATCCCCACCATGCCCTTTTGGGATCACAGATATGTGCAAGAAGGAGCGGGGAAGGTGTCTAGTGAGACAGCAGTATATTTCCAGATAGCACTGACATCCAGTCTTGCTGGATCTTAGAGTCCAAACCTTGGACTCTATGAGAAACTTTCTAGGAGGATACTCCCAAGATTTATGGAAAGGTGTCAGTTGAACATTCATCCAATATGCTCAACTTCCTGCTGATTAAAAAGTAAAAGGGACCTTTTCATTTAGTGCTGCTCAAAGAAGAGGAAGAAGGTAGTTCTCTCAACAGTGTTCCTAGAATAATCACCCATTGGAAAGAAGCAGTCACACTTCTGCTTTGTTCGTGTTTTCTTCTTTTTTGTGAAGCTGCCAGGATATAAAAACAAACACAAAAATAAGGCTAGGAGGATGAAGAGGCCAGGCCCACTTTTTTAAAGCATAAAATTCTTCTCAGTTGAACTTTTTAAAAAAGTAATCTTTAGCAAAATGAATCTCCATCAGTTGAGTTTTATGTTCAAAGTGATAAATTGTGGACACCACAGTAATACTATACAGTGATTGAAATGACCACAGTTAAGGTACCATGGTTATATCAGAATTTCTTCCCATGGGGATTAATCAAAGAACATAGTGCTTATATGTTCCCCATGTGAAGAGAGATGCTGTTTCCTTGGGAAAGCATGCCATGGTATCTGCTCATTTTTATTCCTTTATTCTCTCTTTTTCACTTGTGGTTGTCAAATGTCAGCAAAGTGACTGTGTGTCATGTGACACTTCCACAGATAGAAGGGTGTTATTGCTACACATGAGGCCCTGTTAGAAGTACAGCAAATCCAAGAATGTACATGTATATGCTCATTGTCATTCACACAGAATGAGTTTGAAACTGAAAATTCTTATTTCTCAGAGTTAACCACAATCCTTCTTAAACATTAAATTTCTTGGGCAACTTGGCGAGACCTCATCTCTACAATCAATCAAAAAATGAGCCGGGCGTGATAGCGCGCGCCTGTAGTTCCAGCTAGTCGGAAGGCTGAGGCGGAAGGATCGCCGGAGCCCATCAGGTGGAGGCTGTGGTGGCCGGGAGCGGCCACTGCACTCCAGTCTGGGCGAAAGAGTAAGACTCCAATTCAAAAAAAAAATTTTTTTCTCAATGTTTTAAGCAGTCTCAGAGCTATAGGGTCTGTACAAATGAGCCACAGCTGAAACTGAAAGCCAGAGTACTCAGCACAAATCCCTCAGTCAGTCCTCACATCCAGTCTGATACACACTAACAGAGACCATTATTTTGTCACTCTCAGGCTGCCTGGAAGAAGCAAAAAATATATATACATATATATGACTACCTTTCTCAGAAGTGGATAGTGTCTTCAAGAGTTATATGCAAGCCAGGCTCCGTGGCTCAGCCTGTAATTCCGCGCCTTTGGGAGGTTGAGGTGAATGGATTGCCTGAGCCCGCAGGTTCAAGACCTGCCTGGACAACTTGGCAGACCTCATCTCTACAATAAATCAAAAAATCAGCCGGGCGTGGTAGCGCATGCCTGTAGTTCCGGCTACTTGGAAGGCTGAGGCGGAAGGATCGCCGGAGCCCAGCAGGTCGAGGCTGCGGGGCCGGGAGTGGCCACTGCACTCCAGTCTGAGCGACAGAGTGAGACTCCAACTCAAAAAAAAAAAGAGTTATATGCACTGCTTTTAATCATATCTCTGCTTCTTTCGAGTGCCAGATACATTATGGCAGGATGGTGGCATAAAACAGAAGAGATAAGCAAATCATTGCTGCAAATGACCATTTACCCACATTCTAGGTTTTCGAAGAGAGAGATCTTCTAAACATAACCTCACAAAGAGCATTTCTTATAAAGTACGTTTCAAATATCCCAGAGGCATTGATCAGAAATTAATTGATGTAAGAAAATAATTTTGATTTATTTTTTGAAAACTTTAGAAGCCACTTCCAACAAATATGTTGACCCGAGATAGGTTGTTTTTGCAGGTGTTAGTTTTGTTTGAAAAATTATAAATACAATCTCGGCCAAGTGCGGTGGCTCAAGCCTGTAATCCCAGCACTTTGGCAGACTGGGACAAGAGGATTACCTGAGCCCAGGGAGTCGAGCTAGGTAACTTGGTGAGTCCTTGTCTCTACAATAAATCAAAAAATTAGCCAGGCGTGGTAGCACATGCCTGTATTTCCAGCTACTTGGAAAGCTGAGGCAGGAGGATCGCCTGAGCTATGCAGGTCAAGGTTTCAGTGGCCATGAGCATGCCATTGCACTCCAGCCCGGGCAACAGAGTGAGACTCCAACTCAAAAAAAAAAAAAAAATTACGATAACATTAGGAGTGCAGTAGATTCAGCATTTTGAAGTGATCTAGCAGTTCTTGCTTTCTAAAGTTTTTCACAGTGAAGAACACATCACAGTAAGCTTTCAGAATATTAAGGTTACTGGTCAAACTAAGTAAAAAAAGGTATGAACTAATTGGAAGGGAAAACTTTTTTAGTTTACATAAAAGAGATTTATGTAACTTGTTCTTGATTCACATATAGTCAGAACCTTAGAAATCTAACTTGGAAGTGCCAGAGAATCAAGATTCCAAGCAACCATTTTAACTACAAATACTTAGAAACAAGGGGCAGAAACAGTTCTTTACTGGATGATACAAGAGTGTGGTATTTCCAGGTAGACATGAAAAGTGATATTTTACATAAAGAGGAGAGTTACTATAAATGTGTGCAAAGTAGAGGAATGGGATTTGTTATGAGTTGTTCTCAAAAGCAAAAATACATTTACCTGCTTTCTGTCCTGCAGAACCCACAGCTGGAGTTGCCTCACAAGCGGCAGCAGGGGAATTCCCACAAGGAGTTGCTCCAAACCATCCTGAGATGGGACCAATTGGGATTCAAAAAAAAATAACTAAACCCCAGAGTGATCAGTCCAAAGCATTTATTAAGAGAACCTACATACAGAGAGGGCTTCAGTTTGCCCATGGGAGACAGTGAAACAAGATGTTCTACCTAGATATGTTTGCATTGAGGAGCTTAAGTTACGGAGTTTATATTGAGGGTTTAAGGAATTTGGTTCAGGGCTGGTGCTAGTTTCTATGTATTTAGCAACATTCTTGGTCTTTCAGTGTTTCAGACAACAACCTAAACAAGTTTATTACTGCCTGAAAATGTTCAAAGCCTTGGCTTGAGTTCAAGCCTGCAGGGAAAAACATGCTACTGGTCGGGTCACAGACTGGTCAAAGCACTACGTGTTTCTGAACCAGGACGCAGAAAGGGACGGGAAGTAAGGGGACTCTACAACTTGAATTCTGACCATGGGGTGTTGTACTTATAATTGGATGTGCTCTAATTGCTCATATGGTTGTGCTGTTTATCTATGCATTCATTTGGTGCTGACGTGACTCCTCTAGGAAAAGTAGAACTCCTGCAAGGGAAATAATCAGGTTAAACTAGAGCCCTTCACTGGATTTCCTGATTGGTAAGTTCAACTTTGTTTCTTTTGACTTGGTCATATATTGTGTTACCAAGCTGAACTGGGGGGTCACTCACCCAGTGCAGAAGGCCAGACAGCCACAGCAAAGTTTTGCAGTGGGAGAAAGGAGGGTGTTTATTTGCAGCGCACCAAGTAAGAAAAAGCAGGCAACTCACACTTAAGAACCAACTCTCAGATGGCTTGCAAGCAAGGTTTTTTTTTCTTTTTTCTTATTGCTGTTGTTTTAAGAGATAGAGTCTTCTCTGTTGCCCAGGCTGGAGTACAGTGGTGCAATCATGGCTCACTGCAGCCTCTACCTCCTGGGCTCAAATGATCCTCCTGCCTCAGCCTCCCAAGTACTTGGGACTACAGGTGTGCGCCACCACACATGGTAAAAGGGTAAACTAAGGCAAAGTGGGCCAGTGCCACAGGAATAGTGAAAGATTGTAAGCACAAAGTAAAAGAAAGTGAAATTATTTACTTTTTGCAGATGGAAAGAGGGCCGACACTCGGAGGCCCAAAAGCTGGGGAGCTTAGTATATTTAAGGTTTCTGAAGGGGAGTTTGGGCTGTAAAGAATGTCTAGAGTTTTATTTTTTGATGTAGATAACAGAAGTCACATAAGTCTTGTGTCTTGACATTACCAGGCACTGGTATCTCATGACTCTAGATGGTGGGCAGAAGGCTGACCATAGTAAACTGATAATGATACATCAAAGCGAGAAGCACAAATGCCTTGAACAACTTGGGCTGTATATCTTTTAGCTGGTCATAGTTTTTGTTTATTTGGGGAGTTTTAGTTTGCAAGGTTTGATTAAACATTATATATAAAATTAATACAAAGACATGAAAGAAAGCAGTTGTCATATAGAGACTAAGGGAACAGATACATTTTTGGGTGTTAGAAAGTTTTAATAGCCCATTCTTTATCTAGGTTTGGTGGAGGCATTTCCAGGGGCATGTAGTCCTTTGTGTGTGTCTCCTGTTTGTCAGGGGTCTCAATGAAGATGGTTGTGGTTTTTTTAGTACCAGCAACAGTTACTAGATCCAAGGACAGTGAAGGGGACAAGGAAAAAAATGTCTATTTTTAAATTTAAAAAGCTTTTATATTTTAGAGGTTTTTTTCCTTTTACATGGCTAATCTTCTTAAAAGTTTTTTTGTAGAGATG